AAGGAAGGGAGGAAGGAGGAGGAGTGACTTATTTGTCTGCAAGTTCTGCAAGTTTGGATCACTGACTCATTGCTGTCTCAGGAGGACACATGGCTGGACTGGGCAGAGGGCAGAGCTGGGAGGCTTTCTCTCCTACAAACAGCAGCTCATAATCATTCCACAGCCTGTTCTCACATATTATAATACTGTTTGAGTCTCCTCTGCACCCTAAAGTGCTACATGAATGCCTCTTTGCCTTCTTGAGGGATCCGAAGGTAAAGAAGGGGCTTACAGGAGGATTACCCCGCCATGGAATGTTGTAGACTTGCGAACCGGATTGTTGGAAGTTTTTCTTCCCCCTCTTGGGTTCGGAGCTGCGGGTCTGGATCCGAGGAGCGTGTGCGCTTCTTAGAATTCCCTCAGAGACTGGGAACGTCAAACTGGGCGGACTGTTGCTCTGGTAGTGGTTTAAAAGACGAGCAGACAGCTCTGGCCATTTAAACGTGCACACACATTTTTTTGCACCTACACTCATCCAGACGAAGGAATTCAGGATGCGACGCTTTGACAAGCTGAAAAAGTCATTCCCCTTCCTGGCCCACTTTCACGTATATCGAGTAAGTCTGGTGTCTGTCTGCTGTCTGCTCTGCCTGTCCACTCATTTCATTCTTTGGTAATATGACATGGATAGTTGTAACTATAGTCAGGATCATGTGGTTTACTCAGATGTTAAAATACAGCATTTGTATCATGAATATGGTATGGTGGAGGTCAGTGGTGTGTGTGTGTGTGTGTGTGTGTGTGTGTGTGTGTGTGTGTGTGTGTGTGTGTGTGTGTGTGTGTGTGCGTGTGTGCGTGAGTGCGTGTGTGTGTGTGGACTCACCAGCTGTACTGAGGCTGTCCTCTGGGAGGGTTGTTGTTATTGTAGCAGGATGTTAGAGCGGAACAGATCTGATACAGGACATGGCTTTGGCCAAGAGATGTGTGTGTGTGTGTGTGTGTGTGTGTGTGTGTGTGTGTGTGTGTGTGTGTTTGTGTGTGTGTGTGTGTGTGTGAGTGAGTGCATTTCTCCACCACCATGAGGAATGAGTTCAGGACAGAGGCATGTCTCAGTAGGGAAATCATGTTGTTTCTCTGCATATAAATTCCTACATCCCTCCTTCCCCTCGCTGTGTCATACTTGTTTCCATCTTTGTGTTTTTTTGTTTTCTTTTTACTATATTCTCTAGTAGTTGATGTAGACTTTTAGTGTTTATTTAAAAAAAAAACTGAACCCCAATCGTAACATTGCATGTTCCTTTCAAACCCCCCCTCCATCGCCACAATTTCTAGAAATAACACTACAGGACTACTACAGGACGCCAGGTCCTGGTGGATTCCTCAGAGTCCTTCCATAAGTCACACCTAATGGTTTGAACATAACATTCCTCCTGCTGACCTCGCACCTCCATGATGTGCATCTTCCTCTTCATCCCAGTAAAGGAGAAGTCAAGATTACAGCCTGACCGATTTAGCAGTCAGTCGATTCTATCAGCTGATATTGGCTTATCACCAATATATTGGTATTGGCGTATATGGTGTCAAACATTAAAACTTTTTTTACAGAACATAATGCAGAAAAAGATGCTTGAGGTTAGTTGGTGTCATCACATAGTATGTCCAGCACAGCGTGTGCCCACTCTATTGTTTACAATAATCTTAGCACTGTTTAGAGCATGTAGCAGAGTACACATCACAGCTGAGGAGCGATGTCTTCGCAGTAAGTTGCTAACTAGTTTGTGAAATACACTGCTGGAAAGTTAACAAACAATGGCCCCATCATTTTCCCTTTTCTATATAACTGTCCCTGTCCCTGACACCATCATGTCACTCATGCTTATCACACCTGTTTGCTATGTTGGCAAGATAGCTAGCCAGCCATCATTTGTCGGTACAGTCAGTAATGTAGCATCTGTTGAGTGTTGACTTCAGGCACATTGTTACCTAGTTGGTGAGATGCAATGCTGAAAAGTAAATAAACAACATCCCCATCTTTAACTATCCTCTGACGACTGTTATATCACTCATGCTTATCATACTTGTTTGCCAAATTAGCTAGCTAGCTAACGACGTAGCTACTTTCATAGCTTGTCAGTTGAGTGGAAGCTAATGTGTGAACATATTAGCTCATTCTGCCCATACGTTATAACATTAATAGGAGTGTAACTAAAGGTAACGTTACATAACATACAAACATTCACTCTCCGAACTGAACAATTCCAGTCTTTGCATTTGGAAAAATTAAAATTTCAAAATCTGCTTTTCAACCTGATACGTTGAAAGTTTCCCCTGAATGTTTGTAGCAGACGCGTTTGTTCATCTCTTGACTCATCAGCAGCAAACCGTGAGTTACTGTTTGCGACTGTCACACATTCACAGTGAAATTACATGATTTAATAAGCGAGAAAAAAACTTTTCTGATTGGTGGTTAATCCATTCAAATAATGGTTTGCAACAAAGCTGTAGCATGAATTTCATAGCAAATTCGATATAGGCTACTACTCATTATGTACTCGTGAACAAAAATCCAGTATCGGTCGGGCTCTAGTGAAGTAGAATCAAAATACATATGACAATATCTACACCTCACCATTTTTCTCTGAAAGTGTGATTTGATAGTGTCAGTTTGTGACAATATATGATCTTTGTCAGATTAGTCACAGCCTGTTTCAAGCACCTCTATTAATGGATGTATGACACCTTATTTCCATGCAGCACCTGTCTCAAAACAAACTGTAAAGTGGAGGATATATATGCCTGTTTAATGAGTTTTGTAAACTAGTTAGCAAGTTGACCAAGATATATGATATAAGGGCTTTTAGCGCCTTGTTTTTGACCCCTCATGCCTCAGATATGACACTGCCATGGAAAAAGGCCCGAGAGGAAGCTGACTTGCGTCTTTGGCACCGTCCAGTGAAATAACACTTGAATGTTGACTGCCAGGGAAGATCAGACTCAGAGCTGTTTTGTGTAGGATAAGGGGAGTAATAGTTCATGGTTTGCGCCCCATAGAGGAATATGTTGTACTTCATACAAAAATATATACATGTTGGCTTGTTTAGATTTCATCAGGGAAAATTTGAGTTTTAAACTCTACTAGCTCTAATGTGAACTGCAAATCAAATAAACATGACAAACAGTAAGAGAGCCTTTGGCACAGCTTAGCGTGTAGTGATCCAGCCAAACAGACTGTTGTATCATCTTTCTCAGGGTAAGGGTCAGGCATGATGCAGCAAAATGCAAAATATGGAGATGGATTCAAATGACTGCAGCTCTAGTTAATCCTAAAGCCACAGGCATTACCAGACCTCATTTTACCCTGCATCTCCCTACAATGACTCCAGGCTCTTACAGGTTATTATATTAAATTAGTTATTTACCCGCTATGTAGTAGTACCTGTCATTTCTGCTTATTTCTGAGGAGGCTAACATCAAAGAAGATTCTTACAGTGTGAATTTTTATCAGAAACAAGTGGACAAAACCTCTCTCTGACTCAGAGAGAGCCAAAGCTGCATGCGTGGACATTGCTAAAGAGATATCATCTGACCCACTTTTATGTGCATAGCGATGAATTTGTATCAGGATAGGGACATCTGGATCCCAGCAGATTGGCTTCAGTCAGACTTTGCATCTAAAAATCATGGAAAATACAGGAGCACTGATTCTGAGAAGGCATAGTAGATATGCATATATTCACTCTTTAGGGGTTGGTCACATGTAAACAGTATTTTTTATGGCCCAACATTGAGTGTGTATTTGTATGTGTGAGAAAAAAAGCACCCTCTCAGGTCACAGTCATTAAGCAATAGGAAGTGACCTCTAACCAAGCCCATTAAGAAGTTTAAATGACAGAGAGGAAGCTGTGACCCCTCTGACTCTTTTCTCTGGACCATGTCACCCAGCACAGGAAGTTCCTCATTCAGAGTCTAATTACTACTCAGTGGAGTGACCCCTACGCCCTGGAGCATCCACCCTAAAGGTCTCCCTGTCAATCTCTGCAGATTAGGAATGTTTGTCATATTTGTGTTGATTAGGTTGGTTTAAGGGTTCACGTCACCTTTGAGACAGGGAATAATACTCTGGATCAGTATGAGCAGGTGTAATAGAAGAGTAGATCAGTAGTGGGTCGTCTTCCAAGATCTTTCTTGCTTTTATGCTACATTCAACTACAGCATTTCAACTAAAAGTGCTATGAAGATGCTTATTGGGATTTAGGATTAATTTCAGATACATTTTGTGTTAGTTTTGGCTGGTTACATCAAGCAGACATTGATCGATGATGTTTTAAGATGCAGTGTTGTGTTTTGACATTGAAAATTGATGGTTTGACTCAGTGTTATATGTGAGGGATGTAGTATCTACTGTACATTGTGGTCAGATTGTTTAGGAGACTCTCGTTTGTCTTCAGTGACACTTATGGAAACCAGATGTGCACTGTTCATCTTGTGTAACTCTGCTGTAAGACTGTGATGTAAGCAAACTATCTACAAGGCTGCCAAAAATATAACTCTGTTTCTAGAGATAATGTATTTAATGTATTTTATATAAGTGGTTTATTAACACTATAGTGATGTAGGATCTGTGTAATAATACCTTGTACATTTGGCTGCTTGCCCTGTGTGTCCATGTTTATATGATGTCAATTTGGGCAATGTCTGTGTCTGTGCATGTGTGTGTTTGAGTGTATATTGATATGTTACCTGTTAGGTATGTGGCCTGTAAATGTCAATGTCTCCGCATCTAAGCAGGAATTTCAGTGTGCTGTAAACAATTACCGGGGGGGGCACACAATGGCTCTGAGTTCAGTTTCCTCTTCTTTTTTTACAGAATAGAATGGTTTGTTTGTTGCTCAGTGACTTTCTCTCTTGACTTATTTTGCAGATTTGGGACCAAGAATTGAGAAAACTGTCAAATGAATATTGAATATTGAATGGCTTAAACTCAGTTTCCTCCATTCTGTGTGTGTGTATGTGTTTTGCAGAAACTGGGCAGTAGCATGCAGTCTGAGGAAGGCACAGAATGGCTGCTGGAGCTGCTGATGGAGGTGCAGTTGCAGCAGTACTTCCTGCGGATCCGAGATGACCTTAACGTTACGCGGCTGTCACATTTCGACTATGTAAAGAACGAAGACCTAGAGAAGATCGGCATGGGTCGACCTGGTGAGACTGTGTGTGTGTGTGTGTGTGTGTGTGTGTGTGTGTGTGTGTGTGTGTGTGTGTGTGTGCGCGCACAAGTTTTTGTTGTGCTGAAGTCACATATCAGAGTTTGTTTGTTTGCAGATGTTTGTTTTTGCTTAATTGTTCATCCAGTTTACCCGGGAGCTGAATTCTAGTTCAGTTCTGCTGGGATCCTGAAAAGACAACATCAGATATGAATAAGTGGAGTGCTAGCTATTACAACTCAGCTCCTCACCCAGCTGGTAAACTCCCTTGTAGGCCTGAAAAATCTATATTTTATAATATCTCAGTGAATTCAGGTAATAGCCTGTGACGTACCTGATGGCAGCCTCCCTGTCCAAATTGCTCTCAAGAGACTGTTGTCCTCTCTTTCTCTTTCTACACGTTGCTTCCTCACTGCTTTTAACCGCACTAGGTGCATGGCCCTAAGGATCACAATGTTGGTGTGTCAATTTTGACATTCTTGGTTCTTAGAGGATGAATCCTAGTGACTTTAGTGATCAACTGACGTTTCATCTAATGCCACCATGAGGACCACACTTGTGGTTTGGAGTGAAATATCTTGGCAACTATTGGATGGATTTTTGATATTTTTATGCCTTACCATACTATGACGATTTTATGGCTTACTACAATAAGTTCATGAAAGGATATGTTGATGGTTCAGTGGTTAAAACTGTTGCCTTACAATCTGAAGGTAGTGGGTTCAAGTCCTGGGCTTCGATTAAATTACTATACTGTGATTTTTTTATGCCTTACTATACTATATTGATTTTTTACATTTTTATGCCTTACTATACTATGACGTTTTATGCCTTACTATACTATGATGTTTTTATGCATTACTACAATAAATTCTAGAAAGGAAATCTTGGTGGTTCAGTGGTCAAAGCTCTTTCCTTTCAGTCAGAAGATTGTGGGTTCAAATTCTGGGCTTGGCCTACCTTACTATACTATGAAATTTTTTGCCTTACTGTACTATGACATTTTTTGCCTTACTATACTATGACATTTTTTGCCTTACTATTCTATGATGTTTTTATCCATTACTACAGTAGGTTCGTCATAGAGTATGTTCGTGGTTCAGTGGGCAAAGCTCTTCCCTTTCAATCAGAAGGTTGTGGGTTCAAATCCTGGGTGTTGCCTACCTTACTATGCTATAAAATTTTTGCCTTACTATACTATGACGTTTTTTGCCTTATTATACTATGACGTTTTTGGACATTTTTATGCCTTACTATACTGTGAAGTTTTTTTTTTGCCCTTACTATACTATTACTTTTTTTTTGCCTTACTATACTATGACATTTTTATGCCTTACAATACTATGACGTTTTTTGACATTTTTTGCCTCACTATACTATGACCTCCCTGTGCTTGTGTGGGTTCTCTCCGGGTACTCCGGCTTCCTCCCACAGTTCAAAGACATGCAAATGTGGACTAGGCTAATTGGTTACTCCAAATTGACCATAGGGTATGAATGTGAGAGTGAATGGTTGTTTGTCTCTGTGTGCCCTGCGATGGACTGGCGTTTTGCCTTACTATACTATGACTTTTTTTTGCCTTACTATACTATGACGTTTTTTCATATTTTTATGCCTTACTATACAATGACGATTTTTGACCTTTTTTGCCTTACTATACTATGACGTTTTTATACCTTACAATACTATGACGTTTTTGGACATTTTTATGCCTTTCTATACTATGACTTTTTTTGACATTTTTTTGCCTTACTATATTATGAGGTTTTTTGCCTTGCTATACTATGACTTTTTTTTGCCTTACTATACTATGACGTTTTTTTGCCATACTATACTATGACATCTTTATGCCTTACATTACTATAACTTTTTTGTCATTTTATGCCTTACTATACTATGACATTTTTTCTTTACTATACAATGACGATCTTTATCACTTACATTACTATGACGTTTTTTGACTTTTTTTTGCCTTACTATACTATGACGTTTTTTCACATTTTTATGCCTTACTATTCAATGACGTTTTTTGACATTTTTTGCCTTACTATACTATTACGTTTTTTCACATTTTTTGTCCTACTATACTGTGACGTTTTTTTGCCTTACTACAATATGACGATTTTTGACTTTTTTTTTTTGCCTTACTATATTATGACGTTTTTTGACATTTTTTTGCCTTCCTATACTATGACTTTTTTTTGCCATATTATACTATGATGTTTTTGGACATTTTTATGTCTTAATATACTATGACGTTTTTTGACACTTTTTTGCCTTATTATACTGTGACTTTTTTTTTGCCGTACTATACTATGACGTTTTTTCACATTTTTATGCCTTACTATTCAATGACGTTTTTTGACATTTTTTGCCTTACTATACTATTACGTTTTTTCACATTTTTTGTCCTACTATACTGTGACGTTTTTTTGCCTTACTACAATATGACGATTTTTGACTTTTTTTTTTTGCCTTACTATATTATGACGTTTTTATGACTTTTTTTGCCTTACTATACTATGATGTTTTTTCTCATTTTTATGCCTTACTATACAATGAAGATTTTTGACCTTTTTTGCCTTACTATACTATGATGTTTTTTCTCATTTTTATGCCTTACTATACAATGAAGATTTTTGACCTTTTTTGCCTTACTATACTATGATGTTTTTTCTCATTTTTATGCCTTACTATACAATGAAGATTTTTGACCTTTTTTGCCTTACTATACTATGATGTTTTTTCTCATTTTTATGCCTTACTATACAATGAAGATTTTTGACCTTTTTTGCCTTACTATACTATGATGTTTTTTCTCATTTTTATGCCTTACTATACAATGAAGATTTTTGACCTTTTTTGCCTTACTATACTATGATGTTTTTTCTCATTTTTATGCCTTACTATACAATGAAGATTTTTGACCTTTTTTGCCTTACTATACTATGATGTTTTTTCTCATTTTTATGCCTTACTATACAATGAAGATTTTTGACCTTTTTTGCCTTACTATACTATGATGTTTTTTCTCATTTTTATGCCTTACTATACAATGAAGATTTTTGACCTTTTTTGCCTTACTATACTATGATGTTTTTTCTCATTTTTATGCCTTACTATACAATGAAGATTTTTGACCTTTTTTGCCTTACTATACTATGATGTTTTTTCTCATTTTTATGCCTTACTATACAATGAAGATTTTTGACCTTTTTTGCCTTACTATACTATGATGTTTTTTCTCATTTTTATGCCTTACTATACAATGAAGATTTTTGACCTTTTTTGCCTTACTATACTATGATGTTTTTTCTCATTTTTATGCCTTACTATACAATGAAGATTTTTGACCTTTTTTGCCTTACTATACTATGATGTTTTTTCTCATTTTTATGCCTTACTATACAATGAAGATTTTTGACCTTTTTTGCCTTACTATACTATGATGTTTTTTCTCATTTTTATGCCTTACTATACAATGAAGATTTTTGACCTTTTTTGCCTTACTATACTATGATGTTTTTTCTCATTTTTATGCCTTACTATACAATGAAGATTTTTGACCTTTTTTGCCTTACTATACTATGACGTTTTTTGACATTTTTTTGCCTTACTATCCTATGATGTTTTTTCACATTTTTATGCCTTACTATACAATGAAGATTTTTGACCTTTTTTGCCTTACTATACTATGATGTTTTTTCACATTTTTTGCCTTGCTGTACTATGACGTTCTTTTCCTTACTATACTACGATGTTTTTTTGCCTTACTACAATATGACGATTTTTGACATTTTTTTTTGCCTTACTATACTATGACGTTTTTTTGCCTTACTATACTATGACTATACTATGACGTTTTTTTGCCTTACTATACCGTGACATCTTTATGCCTTACAATACTATAACTTTTTTTGACATTTTTTTTGCCTTACTATACGGTTTTTGACTTACTATACTATTACTTTTTATGCATTACTACATTGTATATGTTGTTGGTTCAGTGGTCAAAGCCCTTGCCTTCAAATTAGAAGGTTGTGGGTTCAAATCCCGGTCCTTGTCTATCTTACTATACTATGAAATTTTTTGCCTTACTATACTATGACGTTTTTTCCCCTTGCTATACTATGACTTTTTTTTTCCTTACTATACTATAACGTTTTTTGCCTTACTATACTATGACGTTTTTTGACTTACTATACTATTACTTTTTATACATTACTACGTTAATGTCTCAAAAGGGTGTGGTGGTGGTTCAGTGGTCTGAGCTCTTGCCTTTCCATCAGAAGGTTGTGGGTTCGAATCCTGGACCTGGTCTACCTTACTATACTATTATATTTTTTGCCTTACTATACTATGACATTTTTATGCCTTACTATACTAAGACGTTTTTTGACATTTTTATGCCTTATTATATTATGATGATTTTTAATATTTTTTTGCCTTATAATATTATGACGATTTTTAACATTTTTTTGCCTTACTATACAATGATGTTTTTTGACTTACTATACTATTACTTTTTATCCATCATTACAGCAAGTGCTTGAAAAGGTGTGTTGGTGGTTCAGTGGTCAACGCTCTTGCCTTTCATTCAGAAGGTTATCGGTTCAAATCCCGAGCCTGGCCCACTTACTATTTCCAGAATTTTTTCCCTTACTATACTATGACATTTTTATGCCTTACTATACTAAGACGTTTTTTGACATTTTTATGCCTTATTATATTATGACGATTTTTAACATTTTTTTGCCTTACTATACAATGATGTTTTTTGACTAACTATACTATTACATTTTATCCATCATTACATTGTATTTTTGAAAGTGTGTGTTGGTGGTTCAGTGGTCAAGGCTCTTACCTTTCATTCAGAAGGTTGTTGGTTCAAATCCGAGCCTGGCCCACTTACTATGTCCAGAATTTTTTCCCTTACTATACTGTGACATTTTTTTCCTTACTATACTATGACGTTTTTTTGCCTTACTATACTATGAC